CTGTCCTGCTGGTAATAGCTTAAATGGCCCAACTTGATGATCACTTTAGATAAGCTATTACCCGCAGGACAGTGGGGTGGGAGGAGGTATTGTTTTATGATCTCTGTGTGTATATAAAGTCTGCTGCAATTTCCACTGAATGCATCCGATGAAGTGAGCTGTAGCTCACGAAAGCTTATGCTCAAATAAATTGGTTAGTCTCTAAGGTGCCACAAGTATTCCTTTTCTTTTTGCGAATACAGACTAACACGGCTGCTACTCTGAAACTTCCCACACTTTGGAGCCCTAATTTCTGGCCCCACCCTGGCACCTGCACCCCCAGCCCAGAGCCTGTATCCCCTCCCGCACCGCAACCCCCTGCCTCCTAACCCCTCATCCCCGGCCCCACTCCAGAGCCTGCACCCCAACCCCCTTCTCCCAGCCCGGTGAAAATGAGCAAGTGAGTGAGGGTGGGGGAGAGTGAGCGACAGAGCGGGGGATGGAATGAACAGAGGCGGAGCCTCAGAGAAGGGGTGGGGCTGGGGGCAGGGCAAGGGTGTTTGCTTTTGTGCGATTAGAAAGTTGGCAACCCTACGTGGGCTCTGAAGCAAAGGGGGTAGGTCTCAGGGCCCAAGCTCCAGCCCAGCCCTTTGTCCCTCCTCTTCCCTCTGAGGCCCCGGCCCCCAGCCAGACCAGAAGCTGTAGCCCGGCCCAGGTAAGAGAGGCCCAGGGAGCCCAGGCCACCGTAGGCTGCCACAGACCCTCCACCTACCTGGAAGACATTGCAAAAACCTCAGTGCAGAATGCAATTGCTCACTTACTTCTCCTGGGGAGCACGTTCCAGCTGTGCTCTTGACCTATTGGGGTTTTGGTCCTGGGCACCTAAGACACCTCCTCTCTCACTCTACCCATCACTGAGAAAAGCGGCGCTTAGGCTGAGATTCCCCAGCTTTGTACTGAGCTGGAGTTTGCTGATCTTCTGGGCACATGGCGAAGCTGATGGACTGTATTTGCCAAGGCATCCTTCTTCTGAGGAAGTGCTTGAGTAGGATTTGTTGGTGTTGTTAGTTTTCTTTCTTTCTTTTTGGTGTATTTTTGGACACACTTATTGTGGGTCTGTGTTAGGTGCATTAAAATGTGAGGAATGTGTGTGCATGGGAGAGAGAGAGAGGAAGGTGTTTTGTACACATGAGGTGGCTCTCTCTGGGAACATCTACACTGCTATTTTTAGCCCTATAGAGCAGAGGTTCCCAAACTTTTCTTATTGCGTACTTCCTTCCAGATCTACCAGCTGCCTGCATATCCCTACCCTTATCATTACTGATAGTTATGGTGCGATGTATACAACTGAAAAAAAAACCCCTAAGTTGTGAGCTCAGTTAAACTGGACAGTTGCTGGGCAACTGAACCCACTCTGTACGGTGATTGGAGATGAGAGCTCTGTACGTCATCGTGTCTTTGTATCTGTGTTCTCACTGGTACATCTTGAAGTAAATTAACTACCGTATTTTATATAACAAATTCCCACAGGGTTTTAAAGCTTAATCTGAGGAGCCTATTATGAAAATGCAAGAAATAAAATAATAAATAAAATCCACCATTGCACAATTTCTCCTGCTTAACCCCCAGAGATGTCTCGCATACCCACAGGGATCCATGTATCACAGTTTGGGAACCCCTGTTCTATAGCAGTGGTTCTCAATCTTTCCAGACTGCTGTACCCCTTTCAGGAGTCTGATGCGTCTTGCATACCCCAAGTTTCACCTCACTTAAAAACTACTTGCTTACAAAATCAGACATAAAAATACAAACGTGTCACAGCACACTAGTATTGAAAAATTGCTGACTTTCTCATTTGTACCATATAATTATAAAATACATTGATTGGAATATAAATATTCTACTTACATTTCAGTGTATGGTATATAGAGCAGAATAAACAAGTCATTGCTGTATGAAATTTTAGTTTGCACTGACTTCGCTAGTGCTTTTTATGCAGCTTGTTGTGAAACTAGGCAGATACCTAGATGAGTTGATGTACTCTTTGGAAGACCTCTGTGTACCCCCAGCAATGGCGGATTAGCCACTGGGCCCATGGGGTGGGGCTGTGGGTGGGGCCACAGGCGGAAGGGGCACAACAGAGGTGGGGCCGCAGGCAGAACAGGTGGGGAAGGGACCCCCACTTGCTCCGGCCGAGGGCCCTGGGTAACCTTAATCCGCCTCTGACCCCCAGGGGTAGATGTATCTCTGGTTGAGAACCTCTGCTCTAGAGCAAGCTGGGGAGCCCAAGGCAGCTGACCCAGGCTCTGAGACTCGCTGCCTCAGGTCTTTTTCTGCTCTGGAGATGTATCTTCTGATGGGAGGTGATTCTGTGAGATCTTCCTTAATGAATTGCTAATTAAACTGAAGGAGGCTCCCTGAGTCGACTTTTCATTGTTTGTCTGTCGCTCATCAGCCCAATCAGTATTTATGCTCTGCTTTTCTATTGCCACCTCGAAGTTAATGTTCAAATCATACTCACACAAGCATTTCTCCCCCCGCCCCCAATTCCTTGCTTAAACCCTGCATTGCTTGAGGTCTGAAATCTTGAGATGCAGGGGGCTCTGAATCACTCCAGAAACTGGAATTAAAGTGCTGGAGAGGGAAAACAAATGACACCTCCTTTCATCAGTCTAACAATGCCCTGAGGCTGCAGTCGAAATTGTCACCCCTGTATTGTCTTCCTCAGCTCTTGGCAAGAAATCGCAGAGCCAGGGCCCTGCTGTCTCCTTCCTTGAATCAGTTTTTCATGTTTTCCCATGAAAACTGAAAATCCTAGAGCTGTTGCCTGGCTGTATTCCAGAGATCCCATCTACACTGCCAAATCAGCCACATCAGGGAAACATTGAAATGGTTCAGTCTTTTGGTGTTTACACCATGGAATGGAAATAAACAGGATGTTGGAACTTGACAACTGAATGGAACGTAGGAAGCAAGAGGTCTCCCATGGGACTTCAGGGTTTTTTTGAGGAGGCATGGCCCAAAATGCAAATCAGAATATCACTCTGGCGATGGCAATTGTTTTTGTGGGAGCGTCTGTGGCAATAAAATACAAGCTGGCCATGGCTGTACAGATTGTGTAGGGAAGGTATAACTAGTGTCAACAGTGGAGTTGCCTGAAAAATGTTTTAATCTAAACTGTTTTTTGACAGAAAATTTGATTTTTGATGGAAATTTTTCACAAAAACTGTCTGCTTTCTTTAGACATTTTCAGTGGAAAACAGAAAAATGCTTGAAAAAATGAAATCTTTCAATTGGCTATTCTGCTGCGATGCCTCATGGGAGTTGTAGTTCAGTTTCCTCATGTCCCCCTTCTCTATGAGCCAGGCTTCCCTGTTGGGCTACATCTCCCATGATAGGTTTCAGAGGAACAGCCGTGTTAGTCTGTATTCGCAAAAAGAAAAGGAGTACTTGTGGCACCTTAGAGACTAACCAATTTATTTGAGCATGAGCTTTCGTGAGCTACAGCTCACTTCATCAGATGCATACCGTGGAAACTGCAGCAGACTTTATATATACACAGAGAATATGAAACAATACCTCCTCCCACCCCACTGTCCTGCTGGTAATAGCTTATCTAAAGTGATCAACAGGTGGGCCATTTCCAGCACAAATCCAGGTTTTCTCACCCTCCATGATGTACCTCAGCCAGCGACTCCCTTGGTGCAGCTGCCTGCCCTCATGATGAGGGGCGAACATGATGCTCCATAGGAGATGTAGTCTGACCAGGTCACCCACCCTATAGAAAAGCATGGGAGCACAAGGTGCGTGCTCTGCAATGCTCATGTGACCCCACAACAGCATTTCCAAATTGAATTATTTCAGTTTCAGCCAAAATGTTTCAGTTTTTTATTTTTTTTTTGCCATAAAGTCGAACTTTTCAGCAGAAAACTGACTCCCCCCCCCCTTTTGTCAAAATGCAGGTAAGTACTGAGAGGCACAAGTAAAGCTCTTGTGTTAGTAGGACTGAAAAAGTGGCACACTGCATGATAGTACATTAGCAGAGCAGTAAGGGGGACTCCAGGTTGAATTATAAGAGATGTTGCAGGTCCAAGTGGAGGTGAATAACAGAGCTGTGTGGTACAAGACTGATAAAGAGGAGGAGATCTAAGTCAATATTGAGTTGTCGTTTTGGGACATCTCCCATAAGGCCTTGCCCAGCGTTGTCCAAGTAGTTTCAGTCTCTAACTTCACAAGAAACAACAACAAAAGCTGCACTGTTCTGTGGTGGGGCAGATAACTCCCCCATCCAGCCAAGAAGAGACTAAAGGGAGGAATCCGGCCAGGTTCGGGGCAGTACTTTGTAACAAACTAAACTGGGGCACAGGGCCCCCAGCCTGGGACTCTGGATTACTGACTGAGAAATAGAAGCATTGCCAGTCTGAGCCCTCTGACAAAGATGGGCTGGTGGTTTTCTTTCCTTGGAACCCCTGGGACTAAGCTTTGGCTTTAGTCATGCAGAAGTGTAGGAGTTAAGACTTCCTTCGGGGGCCTGAAAGACTGCTTCCTCTTTCTGACGTGAAACTGCAGGGAGCTTGGCCTCCCTTCCACGTCGACTGCTTTGTCCTCCCAAAAATGGGGGCGGGGGGCAATTCTAATCTTGAAAGCTGTACCTCAGACCTAGAAACCAGTCCACAGGACCACTGTCCTCACCCCATGAGGTTACTCAGGAGACTTAACCCTCAACACCTTCCTTAGCAAATAACATATGGCAGCTATTTAAAAAGTTCTATGAAGGTAACGAGTGTGTAAAGGGTGGGAGCTTTGAAACAAGAGCAATTTATTGAGGAATAGCATGGGGTAGATGATTCATTCCCTTCTTCTAAGCTGCCTCTCTGTTGTCTCTCTCTTCACAATATTTCTTGTCCCATCCAATTATTGCTAGTTGCAAACTGCATGTTGAATATACATGGGTGATAAATGAATTCTTTGCTTTCATTGTCTCGCTCTTTATTTTGACAAATGATTCTCCTGGGCTCCAGAGTTATTGTTTTTCCAGATTTCCCCAGATGTTTTCCTGATTCTTCACTTGCAAGGTGTCACGCCTCAGACTTCAAAGGGCTGTTGGTGCATTAATTCCTTAAACATGAAAGGTGACACCACTCTGGAGGAGAGGAAGGGATATAGGTAGGTTCATTCATTCATGTGGGATTTCAAAGGCATGCAAAGCTATGCAGTACGCCAGACATTTACAAAGCTTGACAGTTCACTTCCCCTTCACTGTGTATATATGGCAGGATTACAGCAGCCTGTAGCATTGCATTCTCTGGAATGACATCAGCATAGAAAGAATACATTGAACTATATAATGTGGTACAGGATAAAATGAACCTGGATTTGCCCTTCTGGAAATGGGCTGTTTTCTAACTGTTTCCTCTCTCCTAAGAACACTAACTTGCTGACCATCTTGTTGGGCATCAGATGATGCATCTGATGCATGGGCATCAGATATTGTTACCCACATTTGGATGCTCAGAATTACACTGTGGCTCAGATGTTCTCTCCCATTGGACCTTGATATTTAGAGCATCTTCCATCTCATCTAGAAAAAAACCCAGAGTGTTCACTTTGATGTGTAAAGTCTGCATTAATGAAATGACTGAATTAACATTTGGAGCTACTTGGGGAGGAGAGCAAGGGGAACTGTTGGCCTATATTTAATCATATTAATAAACCCTCTCAGTTTGCACATGCTCAGCAGCGATATGATAGAATTTGGCCTCTAAATTCTCTGAACAGTCAGTCTCGGTTGTGCCTGCTTCATTCCCACACAGTTTCTATGAGCTAAACAGGCTACACATGTGCCATCCCCACAGAGTGACTGAGCACGCTTCTCCTCGGACGGCAGAGGAAGAGCAGGACTTGGCCTTCCGTTGCTCCTTCTGGAAGCCAGGGGTTGCTGGGCACACCAGGCACAGGAATTGAGAGCAGAGAAACTGTCTCTCATGTGCGGTCAGTGCTTTCATTGCTGATGCCCGGGTAGAGAAGAGGCAAGGGGGAAAGCTGCAGTGGGGTGAGGAGTCAGGACTGGAGGGAGTGGTGAGGAAGAAGATTGGGAGGAAGAGCTGAGTGGTGGTGGCAGAGGAGACTGCAGCTGGGACAGACAGGTTGGAGGGGATGAGGTTGAAGGGGTCAGGCTTGGGAGTGACAGGAGCACAAGAGTCTGTAATTACTGGAGTTTACTTCTTCAGAACCTGGAATAGAACCCAGGATTCATGAGTCTCAACATTCCTCTGCTATCAGCAAATAGCTGTGAAACCCACTGGCAAAATGAGTGCCTCATCTCCTTCTAGTGCAGAGGTGGGCAAACTACGGCCCGCGAGCCACATCCAGCCTGCGGGACTGTTCTGCCCAGCCCTTGAGGTCCCAGCCCGGGAGGCTAGTCCCCAGCCCCTCCCTCACTGTCTCCCCTCCCCCGCAGCCTCAGCTCGCTGTGCCGCCCGTGGGACTGTGAGCTCCTGCCAGGCAGCACGGTGGTGTGGCTCCGGCTGGGTGGCGTGGCTGACAGGCCTGGTGCTCTGAGCGGCATGGTAAGGGAGCAGGGGCGGGGGAGTTGATAAGGGGCTGGGAGACCCAAGGGGCAGTCAGGGGACAGGGAGCAGAGGGCAGTTCGATAGGCGTGGGAATCCCCGGAGGCCTGTCAGGAGGCGGGGTGTGGATAGGGGTTGGGGCAGTCAGGGGACAGGAAGCAGAGGGGTTGGATGGGGATGGGGGTGAGGTCCCGGGGGGCAGTGAGGGGTGGGGGTTCCTGGGAGGGAACACACACAAAAATGGCATTAAATGAATGTTAAGGTTGCAAAGTCAAGTATTCAGAAGTACAGAAATACAGAGGTAAGGTTGCCTGTGTAACCTTAATTTGTCCCCTTTGTTTGTATGCATTATGGTAGAGTCTTTAGTTACATGATCACATACCATTTTTCCATGGGACATCTGTTTTATTTAATGCATAAATCAAAGCTGTATTGTGAATGAGGCTGTTATCTGTAGGAGCCCTGTGTCAATTGTTCCAAAAGTTGGAAGGAGTGTACTGAATGGGGTGGGGTATTGCAGGAAGAGAAAAGATGGTCTCATAGTTCAGGCAGTTGAATGCTGCCCTGGAAAATTGATTCTGTCCTTGCCTGTGTCACAGAGATCCTAGGTAATGCTAGTCAAGTCACTTGAACCTAACTTTTCCTAGGTGGGAGGCCATTCATTGCATGTTCCTCATATTCTGGATTTCCAGTGGGAGATCTGGGCTCTGATTTACAGTAATGCTGAGCGCTCACAACAGCAACTGAAGTCAGTGGGAGCTGTGCTTTGAACATATAAAGAGCTATAAAATGCTCAATTATCTGAAAAATCAGGCCATAAGCACTTCAAATTGGACACCCAATATTAGCGTACACTTTTGACATGAATGTCTCTGTGCCTCTGCTCCCCATCGGTAAAATGTTTTGAAGATACATCCATTAATGTTCCTGAAGCACTCAGACGCTACAGAGATGAGCACCATAGAAAAGCCCACGAGGAAATCAATAATTCTGTGTTCCGAACAGACTTTGACTGGCATGCAGTAAATAGGGCACAGAGTCACCGGTGAAGAGTATAGTTAAAACAACACATTGAAAAGCTGCTCACCATCTAACATGTGGGCTGAATGACGTAGCAGTTCTATGGAAAAATTTACATGTGGTCATGTAATGAAAGACTGTATCACAATACATACACACAAATCCATATGCATTGCACAGACAACCGTAACTCTGCATTTGCTAACATTTGATTGCTTAGAATTTCACCCTTAATGTTCTTTTAATGTGTTTTTTGTATGTAATATACTTATATTTCTGTCCACTGCTATGGAACAGGACTAGCAACAACAGTGTTTAAATAATGTTATTTCTAATACAGTGTCAACCATAGCTGGCCAGGGCATAGACCTGTAATTCCTCCTTGTTCCTTGAGTCAGTGGGCCGATTTACATATCAAATTTCCCCATGTGGGAGGAGCATGTCATGCCACAGTCCTCTGCCAATGTTGTAAAATGGCTCTCCCAGGGTATGTCTACATGACAACAACAACAACAAACCATAGCAGCAAGCCTCAGAGCCTGGGTCTGCAGATTCAGGCCCTGGGGCTCACTCTATTTCACTAAAAATACCCATGTAGATGTTTGGGTTCAGCTGGAGCTTGAAACTCACCCATCTCCCCAGGCTTCAGAGCCACCTTACAGCCCAAGCCCAAATGTCTACACAGCTATTTTTAGTGCAACAGCATGTGCTCGAGTCTGTAGACCCAGGCTCTGAGACTTGCTGCTGCAGGAGAAGGGAAGTTGCTGTGTAGATGTACCCTCACACACACTATATTTTTTCCCACTAAGCTAGGCAAATGAATTCCCTGATTGTTCCATTCGGATTCACACAGTGTTCTTCCTTTTTATAAACTGTGGACCACATCCTGCAGGGTGCTGACCACCTTGTTGTCCTGATGCGGTCATTGGCAGGGAGTTATTCGGCATTTTGAAGGAGCCGCTCAACACCTCACAGGATCAGGCCTTAAATTATTGGCATAACTGCAGCAACTAGAAATTGCAGGAAAAGAATAGGGGGGGCTTCACTTTTTCTTCTTTTGAAAGACTGGTTCTTTTATTCTCCTACCATACAAAATTGCTGTAAGAGTTGTAACATTTTTCTCTGATTACATTGATTATTTTCCTTGACACTGTTTGAGAGCCTCATTGCTGGGAGAATATATGTGGTTTTGGCTTGGTTTTTTTTCCCCCCTCACACAAAATGCTCTTGGGAATTGATTCTGAGGCAGTGGTAATCTAAAGTAACAGAACAGGCTTGAAATGAGAGGAGGAGGAGTACAGGGATATTGTCCCTGTGTGGGATTTCCTGACTTCTAGCCGGTCCCCTACATTATCTTTATTTATTCAGGTAGAAACCTATTGAGATTATAATCTTTTCTTCCGGGGACACTTGTCCATATCTAGCAGCTCTGAATAACAATACTCCAGTCCTGAACCTGTCTCAAGGGTGAGACAGCCTGTTTCCTTTTGACTGTTTGCAAACAGTTTTGCTGCTCTGGAAAGTGGTAAATTGTTTCTGTGTTTGTTCTACGCAGCTCAGTAAATCTTTCCTTTCTTGCTCAGATTCCAACTACGACTGTTCTAAGGATTTGTGAAAATTGCCCAGATGGGGATGGCAGTGGGGAGTGCCAAACAGCCAGTAAGTCACTCATTCATGGAGCAAGCAAGAGCGCAACTTGAAATCATGGCCCAGCTCCTCTTGGGGACTCTTCCAAGCTCCTGTCAGAGCTCTGATGACCCCCTCCCATTTCTTTCATTATACTCCTCTGACCTTGCATTGTGTCGGCTGATCTTGTGACCTGAGAAGGACTGGATATCATCTCCTTCTGGGGCTAGCCAATGACATAGGGGCAGGGGGTCACTGCAGCATTCATTCCTTTTCCCTATGGGCCTGAACATTCACCTTAACAGATTTTCATCCTGCCAGCTCTTCGTCCTCCACCCTGCCAGCTCTTCCGTCCCTTCTAGGTTCCATATAGATAAATCTTGACCAAAAAAGCTTGACAAAAAAACTGGATCTGAACACTTGTCAGTGTTTTCTCCTTGCTTAAAATAAGCCTTCTCTCTTTCTTTTATTTTTTCCCTGATTTGGTCAGATGATGATTTTGAGGAGGCAGGTGAAGGTGGAAATTAGTCAACACGTAGCAGAACAGTGTTATCATCAAGGAAGAAGAGTTGTTCCATAATGCAAGGGACTGGTGGTGAGATGGAGCAAAGGAATATTTAGTCTGGATTCCAAGAAACACTTCTTGGAATATGAAATTCTCTTAAGCTATGGAAGAATCTCCCAAAGGAAGCCCTCCCTATTGCCTGCCTCCTTTAGAACTGGGCTGGATACAGTGCTGAACAATCTATAGTAGGAAGTCCTGAAGGTAACATCAGTTGGTGTCCAATTTAAATGACTTTCTTTGCATTCTATGTTGTGTTGCTCTAAATAGGTGGTTCTACAGAGATGTTGTACTCCACACCTGCAATGTGTGATTTTCTGACACTTACAGTTTCATTGTTTCTAAAGCAAATTTCTTCAAACATGCATGTTTAGGTGACAAGTCAGATGTTTTAAAAATATAGTGACATGGAGCTGTGTCAGAAAGGGCTAAATTCTGCTCTTGACTATGTCAATATCAATCTGGAGGTAGCTCTGTTGAAGGCAGTTGAGTTACTCTGGGTTGACGCTGGTATAACAGCAAGCAGGATTTGGCCAAAGTGTCTGAAAAATGTCTTTCCAGTGTGTCCCTAAGAACCCCTCAATGCCAACTGACAAAGGGTTCACTGTTTTGTAACCGGTTTCAGAGTAGCAGCCGTGTTAGTCTGTATTCGCAAAAAGAAAAGGAGTACTAGTGGCACCTTAGAGACTAGCCAATTTATCTGAGCATAAGCTTTCGTGAGCTACAGCTCACTTCATCGGATGCATTTTTTGTATGCATGTTTTGTAACCACAACTCCTAACGAGTGTAACAAACTCACTATGCCTAACGCACTGTTTTCATGGTATTTATCCATAAATAGTGTTTTGTAAGGTATCTTATGTCCTACTCATCCTGGAAATCATTGCAAGATGTTTTTTGCAAGATGCAAACAGGTTTTGTCAGACAAAAGGATGTAGATTCAACTGTTTGCCCTTGCTTATATGTAGATTAAGCATTGTAAGTCACCTCAATGCAAGCCCCATTTTGCACATGGAGTCAACATGAAGATGTGAAGGCATCCTGGAGCCAGCACATCAGGAAGGGAACCAGGGGGGTCATCCCGAATGGGCACAAAACAATAAGTTTTGGAAAATATAAGGAGCAGCAAAAAGCCATTTTGGGATCCATTCACGGAGGAAACCCCTTGAAGGATATGGGATATTCATAAAAACTTGGATCCTGGTTTTGACTGAACCACCAGCAGCTCTCTCAAACACTAAATCCTTGGGAGAAAATTTACTTTATTAAATAGAAAAGGTACCATTGATAAGTGTATTCCTAAGCCTGTGTTTTATGTTTTGTTTTGAATGTGTAAAAATTGCGGTTTCTACTCATTATCCTAACTCACTATCTTGTAAAACTTAACCTTTGATAATAAACTTATCATTGTTTCACTATAAATATGTTTCAGTGCTGAAATGTTCTGAAGGGCCTGATCCTACATTGAACCTGTCAGCCTATGTGTCCCCTGTGTCTTTGGAGACAATTACCTGGACATTTCTGTGTGCATCCAGTGATGGGCTGGCTGCTGCAGGGAGCGCTCCAAGGACTAGGGGGTTGTTGTGTGTCTGCACAGAGAGAGAGAGAGGTCTGTGGAGAGCTGGAAGTCGGTGCTCTACTCTGTGAGTAGAACACTTTTTTTTTTTTTTAATCAGATACAGCAGAAAAGGCTGAATGGAACTTTTCCAAACTTCCCAAAAACTTCCTCTGGAGTTAGGAATAAACATGAGAAATTCCTAGTACAATGCTGTAGCTGTCATTGTTACTTTGCCAATGAAAGAGGATGATATTAGATTATTTTTCAAGTCAAGAAAACAATGAAGTAGGCATGGTGTAGGCAGCCTTCTTAGTGGCAATAACCTAATTCCACAGGATGTTATAATCATGACACAATCATACACTTGAGATATTACAGACACTTGTCTGCTCCTTGTGCATCCAAATACCTCAGAGATGTATTTATCTCATGGCTAGTACATTCCCTGATCAGACTTCTTGCTTAAATATTGCAAGCCAGGAACAGAGAGATGTAGAGAAAACATTAAATATTCATTTGGAGGTTCTCTTATTTAGAAAACAATAATTTCTCTCTTGAAAAAGTAATATCTTTGGGTCATCCAATTTAGTAGCTGAGGAGATATTTGATTGGAGGATTAAGGGATTCCATGCTCATTCGAAGCCCTGTCTTCCATTCATCTTGAGAAAAATGAACTGAGTAGCTTAATGGATAATACACTGATTTGTCCCTGTTGTGGAGACACAGAGAAATAAATATGTCCCATAGCACTGACTAGCTGGAAGTCAGCACACATGCCCCCCCCAGCCTAATTCACACACGTGAGGCTGCCATCAGAATTGCCGTTCTCGGTGTCCTCTTTAGGAGACAGCTAAACTGACAAGAGGTCATGATCCCCATGATCCGGAGACAGAAGTCACTGATAGGCCATGAGGGATGTAGTAAGGCTTCTGCTACCCAGCTCCTTGACCGTTATGAACAAATTAATTCAGATTTTTTTATTTTGCAAAAATATTTATATTTTACTAAACATGACCAAACTTTTGCATACTCCCTCCCCACTGAGGCCCCATAATTGACATACCAAGAGAACATCGTGTCCGTAGATCCACTGCCTTTCAGAATCCCCTTTCACCATTCTGAGCCATCTATCTCAAGACCCAGCGAAAAGCAGTGTTTTCTATTACCAGTGATTTCTTACTATTGTATCCATCTGTCAAGGTTCCTCCCCCACTCTGAACTCTAGGGTACAGATGTGGGGACCTGCATGAAAAACCTCCTAAGCTTATCTTTACCAGCTTAGGTCAAAACTTCCCCAAGGTACAAAATATTCCACCCGTTGTCCTTGGACTGGCCGCTACCACCACCAAACTAATACTGGTTACTGGGGAAGAGCTGTTTGGACGCGTCCTTCCCCCCAAAATACTTCCCAAAACCTTGCACCCCACTTCCTGGACAAGGTTTGGTAAAAAGCCTCACCAATTTGCCTAGGTGACTACAGACCCAGACCCTTGGATCTTGAGAACAATGAACAATCCTCCCAACACTTGCACCCCCCCTTTCCTGGGAAATGTTGGATAAAAAGCCTCACCAATTTGCATAGGTGACCACAGACCCAAACCCTTGGATCTGAGAACAATGAAAAAGCATTCAGTTTTTTACAAGAAGACTTTTAATAAAAAATAGAAGTAAATAGAAATAAAGAAATCCCCCTTGTAAAATCAGGATGGTAGATATCTTACAGGGTAATTAGATTCAAAAACATAGAGAACCCCTCTAGGCAAAACCTTAAGTTACAAAAAAGATACACAGACAGAAATAGTTATTCTATTCAGCACAATTCTTTTCTCAGCCATTTAAAGAAATCATAATCTAACATATACCTAGCTAGATTACTTACTAAAAGTTCTAAGACTCCATTCCTGGTCTATCCCTGGCAGAAACCAGCATACAGACAGACACAGACCCTTTGTTCCTCTCCCTCCTCCCAGCTTTTGAAAGTATCTTGTCTCCTCATTGGTCATTTTGGTCAGGTGCCAGCGAGGTTACCTTTAGCTTCTTAACCCTTTACAGGTGAGAGGAGCTTTCCCCTGGCCAGGAGGGATTTCAAAGGGGTTTACCCTTCCCTTTATATTTATGACACCATCTGCAGAGAACATAGGTGACTAACCGGTATTCAACACATGGCCTAGGCAACACAAGGATAAATGACTCATTGCTGATACAAGTGTCAGGAGTAGCTGCAACTGAATGGATGCAGAGCATAGCTTGCCCTGGATCAACACCTGCAGGTAATTATCTGGCTCTGCTGCACCTACTGTTAATACCCATAGTAAGCAATGGGTACTTTTTCTAGCATTGGCCAGCCTTGCGTGTGTGTGTGTGTGTGTGTGTGTGTGCGAGAGAGAGAATGAACTGTCATGCTCACTTTGCAGTCTGCTTCTGTCCAGTACATCTATTCAGTTGCAGATGTTGCTGCAGCAGCTGTCCCTGGGTAACAGGAAATATAGGTTTGTGTCTTTTGAGATACCCATGATGTAGGCAGCTGCACCATTAACAGGGGAGCAAGGAGGTAACTGGGAATATCTTGGGCAAATCTTGATCTTGAATTTCACCAGCAGGAGCAGTGCATTGGTGCCCCTTCTGATATCATTGAAGGAACCTAGAAGAAGGAAAAGGCCAGAGAGCCCAAGAGTTAGCCTGGCTGATTATCCAGTGATTCAGAAATTGCTAATGAAGCTGCAAGAGGTGTGTGTTTGCTTCTGGATGCTACTTCTGGTTCAGTACTCCAGTGAAAGTGATGAATAAACCTGGAAGCCTTCACTTTCCTCAATGACAAATTAAATCTTCCCGTATATAATTTCTTGTCCTGAAAACTGCCAGCTGAACAATTGAACTTGTGCTTCGCCAAACAGCCAAGGGATAGAAGAAGGCAGGCAAGCCCTAATGGAACAAATGCTGCTGAGGGAGGCTGCCCTGCCTGTTGATTGTAGCCACTTGCCAACACATGAATGGCCAACCTGCCTAGATCCAGTGTGTGTAAAACATAGGAACATACAGTTTGTCATACTGCATCAGACCACTGGCCCATCTAGGCTGTTATCTGGCCTCCAGCAGTGGCCAATAACTGGTGCTTTAAAGAAAAGTGGAATGCTTCCATAATGCACATAGCCCTTTGTATGTGGAGGCAATTCCTCATGACTCTGGCAAGCAATCAGCTTCTGGCCTGAAGCATGCCATTTGCATCCCGGTATTATAAGAAGTGTAATGGGATCCCTCAAGAGCAAGTGGAAAACAAGCCCCTGGTGGTGCACTTGCTGAAGAAACAAACCCCCGTTTTTTCAGAAGCTGTGTGGGTTTGAGCTGTGGGGAATCTTTTTAATTTGAAAAGGAGCCACATATCTCTCTTGCTATGCCAGGCACTGAAGTTGTTTTTCTGTCTTCCTGCAGCATTTTGTTGTTGTCATGCATTTAAATTTACATATCAAAAAGAAAAAGATCCCTTGGGTCAAATAGCTTCTCGTTTTGCTATCGGTGTTTTTGTTCTGCTCTGAAGAAGCTCTTCCATCGGACTAAGAGCCTTATTGCTGAAGTGTGTAGATACTTACCTGTTGTTTGCAGGAGAATGGCCCTTTAATATATGCCCTCTTGGATTTTTTATTCCAAAGGAAATTAAATAAACAGCTCCTTTTAGTCTTTTAAACTCTTCACCCCTAAAAGAATGTGAAGCCAAGTGGAACCAAGAAAAGGATATTTGCCCAGCAATTTGCCCATGAAATGCATTTGTTTTTAATTGCCTCATTAAATCAAGTTACGATGGATTGTATGACCTAACCCGATGCAATCTGACATAATGGGATGCTTTCAGAAGTTCTAGAAAATTGAGAGCTATTCATTTAACTGAGATTTTTTCCATCGACAAATAGCTGTACAGCTCACATGCAGTGGTTACATGCATTAGGAGCACCCTTGTCATGAGAAAAGGCTGCACCATTAATGCATTTTGTCATGCCCAGGCCACTCGATTGGTCCATTATTTCCTTTGGAAATAATGGCTTGTTGGTAGCTCAGGATAAGAAGGGGCAGGTCTGTTATGCTGAGATAGGACCGTGGCCTGAGATTTCTGGCCCATGTGCCCTCTGTACTCAGGCAAGTATAGTGAATTATAATTGCACCAATGTGAAACTCTTTTTGGACTGTAGGGAACCATCCTGTGGGCCAGTCCAATTGCAGCTGTCATTGTCCAACGGGGAAGACTTGACAAACCTGAGATGAGTTTGCAAGGCCAGATGAAAGGGCATTATTTAAGTTCTCCCCAGAGACCAGTGGTCACCAGGCCCATTTCTCCAAGGCCCCCCAAGCCCTTGTGATCAGACAGTGAGACAGTTTATGAGCGTTTTTGGATTTGGTCACAGCAACCCTTGTGTCTTATCTGCGGCACATCTAACGTGTGTCTATCGCTGTAGTATATAGGTATCAAAGTGTGCCCTAGTGAGCCAAATGGGACAGCTCCTTCTCACAGCATTGGGTCTTGCTCACAATAGAAGCTTCCCCATATGGGGACTGTTCTGCAGCCAGTGGCACAGTCTGCTCCATCACCTGCTCCCTGTAGCTCGAAATTAATAGGGATTGTGATGGGTTGGACCCCTTGGGAAGTCATCTGATGTGCTGAGATACCACTGAGTCGACTTGTTGTACCAGCATGGGCCGCATTTAACCTGTCTTGCTGAGCCAGGCTCTTAAAACCGCCTCTAACACACACACAGGCAGGGCCACACCCAGTTGCAGATCAGCTCTGGGAAGACTTTGTTTAAGGGACTTGCTCCAGCACTCAGATGTCCACC